ACCGCCCAAGAGCCCACGACATTGGCGACGATCGCGCACTTCGCAGCCCCCCAGTGACCCGCGAGGTCTTGGGTGGATCTGTTACAACTCCGCTCCGCTGGACCTCCCAGGAGCCCACGAAATTGGCGACAGTTGCGCAATTCGCAGCCGCGCATTGAGGAGGAAGCAAGAGGGGGGGGAGTGGAGGGTGGGGAGAGGAAGGAAGGGGGAACGAGAACCCAACACAGGAGGGTTGGGAACAAACTGTACAAGCCCTCGTGACCAGCCCAAATAAGAAATAACGATGGCAACGCGATGAGCGCCGCAAGCGAGCATGGACGTTTGGACTGGTCTTCCTTGCGTTCTCCGGGGAACCCCGTTGGCACCGCCACTGCTGCTGGGAGCGAGTGGGCACGCTTGGAGTGAGCTTCCTGGCAAGCCACCTGGCAACAGAGCTGCCAACGCGATGTGCGCTGCAAGCGGAGCGGGCACGCTCAGAATGAGCTTGCTGGCAACACCGCTGGCCACGGGAGGATGACCCGCCCAAGGCACCTGTGGTGGGTGAATTATTCAAGGGCATGGACGCAGTGGGAATTCTCAGGGCACGCCCTGTTTGGACACAGCAGCAACAACAGCAGCAGCAGCAGCAGCAGCAGCAGCAGCAGCAGCAGCAGCAACACAGAGTGCGCGACAACGAAGCGAACACGCTGGGAGTGGACTTCCTGGTGGGCTTCCCGAGAACAGCCCTATGGCTGCCCGGAGCGAGCCAGCACGCTTGGAGTGAGCTTCCTTGCGAGCCACCCTGCAACAGAGCTGGCAACGAGATGTGCGCTGGAAGCGAACGGGCGCGCTCGGATGGAGCTTCCTGGCAACGCCGCTGGCTGCGCGATGGCTGCCAACCGCTAGCGGGCACGCTTGGAATGAGATTCTTGGAACAGCGCTGCCCACGCGATGTGCCTTGGAAGGAAGCGGGCACGCACGGAAAAGGCATGCGAGGCTCACGGGATGGCCACGGGAGGGACACCCGCCCAGGGCACTCCTCCTCCTCCTCCTCCTCCTCCTTCCCCTCCTCCTTTTTCCATTCCTTCTCCTTATTGACAACTTCTCCCCGTCGCACTTCGAGGTCAGTTTTTAGGGCGGGCTGTGCGTTTCGCCTGACACTTCCTCACCACTTATGACCCCGAAGCTGAAACATTGGCAACAGTTTCACTGATGGAGGGCGGGTGGTTTTCAAAATATGGCTCTCGCCTTAGCGCCGCGCGCATTCGTTCGGGTGGTTTTCAAAATGTGGTTCTCGCCTTCGTGCCGCGCACATTCGTTTTAAAGATTTACAGAGGGTTTCACGGATTGAGGGCGGGTGGTCAAAACAATGTGGCTCTCGCCCTAGCGCCGCGCACAATTGTCTTAAAATAATGCAAGAATTTCACGGGTTGGGGGCGGCTCCTTTTCAAAATGTGGCTCTCGCCTTAGCGCCACGCAAAGTCGTTTCAAAACTGTGCAAGAATTTCGCGGATTCCCATGGTCAGCGTACCCAAATTAGCCTGACGAAAGACCCAACCATACGTAGTTGTGAATACCGCAATTGTGGATATATTCCTCGGTGGCGCTCCCTATGGGGCCACGAACCGCATGAAGGGCGTGCCGAAATGTGTGGCGGGGGTACACAACGAGCATGCGCGGCCACTGGGGCCTTCGGTGGAGCTCCCTATGGGGCCACGAAACGTGTGGGGTGTGTGTGTGCCAGAATGTGGGGTGGAACCGCATGCGAGCGCAGCCACTGGGGCCTTCGGTGGAGCTCCCTATGGAGCCACGAAACGTGTGAGGGGTGTGCCGAAATGGGCGGTGGAACCGCATGCGAGCGCAGCCACTGGAGCGTTCGGTGGAGCTCCCTGTGGGGCCACGAAGCGTGTGAGGGTGTGCCGAAAAGAGGGGTGGAACCGCATGCGAGCGCAGCCACTGGGGCCTTCGGTGGAGCTATCTATGGGGCCACGAAGCGAGTGAGGGGTGTGCCGAAATGGGGGGTGGAACCGCATGCGAACGCAGCCACTGGGGCGTTCGGTGGAGCTCCCTATGGGGCCACGAAACGTGTGAGGGGTGTGCGAGAATGGGGGGTGGAACCGCATGCGAGCGCAGCCACTGGGGCGTTCGGTGGAGCTCCCTATGGAGCCACGAAACGTGTGAGGGGTGTGCCGAAATGTGGGGTGGAACCGCATGCGAGCGCAGCCACTGGGGCGTTCGGTGGAGCTCCCTGTGGGGCCACGAAACGTGTGAGGGGTGTGCCGAAAAGGGGGGTGGAACCGCATGCGAGCGCAGACGCTGGGGCCTTCGGTGGAGCTCTCTCTATGGGGCCACGAAGCGTGTGAGGGGTGTGCCGAAATGGGGGGGTGGGGGTGGAACCGCATGCGAGCGCAGCCACTGGGGCGTTCGGTGGAGCTCCCTATGGGGCCACGAAACGTGTGAGGGGTGTGCGAGAATGGGGGGTGGAACCGCATGCGAGCGCAGCCACTGGGGCCTTCGGTGGAGCTCCCTATGGGGCCACGAAACGTGTGAGGGGTGTGCCGAAATGGGGGGTGGAACCGCATGCGAGCGCAGCCACTGGGGCGTTCGGTGGAGCTCCCTATGGGGCCACGAAACGTGTGAGGGGTGTGCCGAACAAGGGGGTGGAACCGCATGCGAGCGCAGCCACTGGGGCCTTCGGTGGAGCTCCCTTTGGGGCCACGAAACGTGTGAGGGGTGTGCCGAAATGGGTGCAGGGGGCGCATGCTGATGATGATGATGATGATGATGATGATGATGATGCTGATGATGATGATGATGATGCTGCTGCTGCTGATGATGATGATGATGATGGTAATGGTGATGCTGCGGATGATGATGATGATGATTATGATGATGATGATTATGATGACGATACTGATGATGATGATGATGCTGCTGATGATGATGATGAGGATGACGATGCTGATGATGGTGGCGATAACGGCGATGATGATGGCGATGATGGTGATGATGACGATGATGACGATGATGACGACGATGATGACGATGACGAAGACGACGATGCTGGTGATGATGATGCCGGCGATGATGATGATGACGGGAGGAGGGAGGAGGGGGGAGGAGGAGGAAAGGAGAGGAGGACGCGGGGCACCGTCTCTTCAAAACAAGGACCCAACACCACAGGATGGCTGGGAACATTGTCCTGGCGAAAGACCCAACCATATGCAATTGTGAATAACGCTTTGTGGGTGCCGCTTTCGGTGGGGCCCCTTATGGGGCACCGTCTCTTCAAAACAAGGACCCAACACCACAGGATGGCTGGGAACATTGTCCTGGCGAAAGACCCAACCATATGCAATTGTGAATAACGCTTTGTGGGTGCCGCTTTCGGTGGGGCCCCTTATGGGGCCACGAAAGGCGTGCCACGAAACGCTGTCCTGGGCGTACGGACGCATGAGGACGGTAGCACTGGGGCCTTCGGTGGAGCTCCCTATGGGGCCACGAAACGTGTGAGGGGTGTGCCGAAATGGGTGCGGCGCCGCCATGCGAACGCAGCCACTGGGGCCTTCGGTGGAGCTCCCTATGGGGCCACGAAACGTGTGAGGGGTGTGCCGAAATGGGGGGTGGAACCGCATGCGAACGCAGCCACTGGGGCCTTCGGTGGAGCTCCCCCTGGGGCCACGAAACGTGTGAGGGGTGTGCCGAAATGTCGAAGGAGTGGGGGAACCGACATGCAACGCAGCCACTGGGGGGCCTTCGGTGGAGCTCCCTATGGGGCCACGAAATGTGTGAGGGGTGTGCCGAAATGGGGGGTGGAACCGCATGCGGGCGCAGCCACTGGGGCCTTCGGTGGAGCTCCCTATGGGGCCACGAAACGTGTGAGGGGTGTGCCGAAATGGGGGGGGAACCGCATGCGGACGCAGCCACTGGGGCCTTCGGTGGAGCTCCCTATGGGGCCACGAAGCGTGTGAGGGGTGTGCCGAAATGGGGGGTGGAACCGCATGCGGACGCAGCCACTGGGGCCTTCGGTGGAGCTCCTATGGGGCCACGAAACGTGTGAGGGGTGTGCCGAAAGGGGGGGTGGAACGCATGCGGACGCAGCCACTGGGGCCTTCGGGTGAGCTCCCTATGGGCCACGAAACGTGGAGGGGTGTGCCGAAACATGGGGGTGGAACCGCATGCGAACGCAGCCACTGGGGCCTTCGGTGGAGCTCCCTATGGGGCCACGAAGCGTGTGAGGGGTGTGCCGAAATGGGGGGTGGAACCGCATGCGGACGCAGCCACTGGGGCCTTCGGTGGAGCTCCCTATGGGGCCACGAAACGTGTGAGGGGTGTGCCAGAATGGGTGTGGGAGGGGGAGGAGGGGGGAGGAGGGAGGGAGGAAGGAGGCGGGAACGCGGGGCACCGTCTCTGCAAAACGAGGACCCAACACCACAGGATGGTTGGGAAAAAGTCAGGGGAAGATTCAGGAGTTTGAGGGTGCAACAGTTATGTTGGTTCGCCTTGTTGAAGTCCCAGGAATTGTGTTCTGGGGCAATTCAGGATCGTCAAGACGCAACAGTCAGGTTGCTCCGTGGCGTTGAAATCCCGAGAACAATGTTTTGGCATGCTTCAGGGTCTTCAAACGGTTGCCTGCCAACGAAGCAATTCCCTCAGTGGAAATGAACCCTTGCAGAAGCCTGTGAAGAGGGAGCTTGGAAGGAGGGTTGATTCCACCATCATTGATGACTTTGGTTTTACTGATTTCCCCTCCTCCTCCTCCTCCGCCCCTCCTCCTCCTCCTCCTCCTCCTCTTCCTCCTCCCCCTCCTCCTCCTCCTCCGCCTCCTCCTCCACCCCTGCCTAATGCCCTTTGTGGCAAGCCTGGTGAGTGCGGAAGCAGCGCCGTCAGCGCGAGTGCGCCGCAAGCGAGCGGGCCCTCTCGGAGCGAGCCTCCCGGCAAGCTACCTGGCAGCAGCGCTGGTCACGCGACGTGCGCCCGAAGTGAGAGAAGGGCATTTTTATCATACTAATAATACTTATCATATTTACCGAAGGAGAAGAACAGAGGCGGTACATGCCCTGCAAATGCAGGGCAAGCCGCCCGCTTGACGTCTGCAAGCAACGGGGAAAACGATGCAACAAAACACGCCGCAAAGGAGCTCTTCCGGAGAAACTTTGCTCGAGGAAAGTGGCACCCTCTCAGAACTGCCAAAGAAAGGACACAACCAACGCGCAGAGATGAAGATGTGCTCAACGCATGCAACCCTTGCCGATTTCACCACGCATGCCTTCCCCGCCGACTTAAGTAGAAGCTTTTCTCGAGGAAAGTGGCACCCTCTCCGAACTGCCAAAGAAAAGCGCAGATTGAACCACTCCTTCGGCTCCTTGGCGCGTTGTTTGAGCCACTCCTTCTTCTCCTTGCCCAGCACGTTCATCGCCGTGTAGAACGGCAAGATGACAATAACGCAGACGTTGGCGGATGCCATCAGCACGTGCTCCAACTCGTACCGGTTCGGCGTCATGCCGTCCGCCGAATTCGTTGTGAGGGCCGCCTGTTGGGGCACGAAAATCAAGATGAACGCCAGCGTGGCGATCAGCTGGGCGCGATTGTCGGCGTCAGCGTCGTAGGGCCTTCCTGACACCACTACTGCGGCGAAGCAGCGACCGCGCAGATGGACCAGAAGATGTAAGAAACTGCCGAATCAGCGGGCGACGAAAGCGACGCTGGCGAGCATGCGCTGCCGAAGCATGACGACGCACTCGAACCACCAGTACCGGGGCATATATGGCGAGTAAAAGTTGCGCCACGCCGCGCTGCCCACGCTGTTCGCCATCTTCGCGTCCCAGCCCTTCTCGTCCACACTCCCTGCTGACGCGACAGCGCGTCGCATGGCCAGGAAGTGCGACGGCGGAATGCCGATGGAACAAGCCAGAAAGCCCAGGATGGCGAAGAGGTAAATGATGTTCTCGAAGGTGGCGTCCTGCTCGGCGACATTGTAATCGAGGCGAAAGAGGCATCCGCGATCATCATCCAGGGTGCAGTTCAAGGAGGCCCCCGCAATCGGGAGATGCGCAAGGATGGCGAAGGTCAGCGGCGTGTACACAGGGTACGAAGCCCAGAAATACACACTGACCGTATCGCCTGCGCCCTGTTCAGGAAAGGCCGGTGATCACGCTGCTTGGGCCCGTGTTACGCGAAGCGTTTGGAGAACTTCTGCGAAACGAAGGGGGGCGCCAGAAATGATGGGCCCCCCGCCAGCTGCATCGCAGTCTCGGCCTCGGACGACAATATGCACCCGCAAACCCTGCGAGGGAAGGATTGCGTAGGGAACCGAAGATTGATGCAACGTGGCGCGCGAAACTGTGCAAAGCAAAGTCCAACTTCCAGATCCTGGGGTACGCGAAATTACATGTGGTGGCCCAGCCAACGTATGCGTGAAGCAACGTGTGCAGGATGCGCAGGCTTCCGAAGCGCATGCCGGACACGCGCCGCACCCACTTGTTTTTTGATCTCTTGACATCCACCCCTCTCTGGCAATGCATTCGGCTGCAGGCGTGTCTGCGCATCCTGCTTCTGGGCTTCCATTCGTCTCCGGCCCTGCAATCGACTTCTTGAATAGCAAACCGAACTGAAGCAGCGCGGGCATCGCAAGCGCCACCGCGAAACAAATCACGAGTCCCAGCGTGAAGGGCGCAGTCGCTCCCTCGCACGTGGCGCAAGAGGAGCCGAGGCGCCCGTAGCCGTGGCTGCGCCCCTCCACGCGCGCGTTGCCCGCAATTCAGACAGTGGCCTGATCGTCGCGTGCGGCCTCGCCCTCATCAGCTGCAGCTCGGTTCAGAGGACATTCGACGGGTTCCGTGCCGTCCGCGGCCGGGGGCCAGCAGCCGCGAAGTGCCGAGGCCCCCGTGGCCCCCGTGGAAACGCCGCCACTTGGACATGGTGCGCAATTGGTTTCTTGCCTCACCTGCCCCTCGGGGCACCCGCAGACGGCGCCGCTCTCCAGGAGGGGGAGGGGGGCGATGCACTCGCAGGCCCCGGCGCGGAGGATTGCCTCAGGGGCAGCGCGCTTGCGCGTGTCCTTGTCCCTCGCCAGCCCCAGCACCTCGGAACGTCCGCAGACGGTGCCGTCGGGGCTGTACTTCTGCGCGAGCGGGGCGACGCAGCGGCGCTCTCCGTCGGACAGGGACGACCCTGGAGGGCAGGCTTCGCAGACCACGAGGGAGCCCGGGTCCATCCGAATGACGTTGTCCGCCGGACACTCGCCCGCGCAGTTCGCGCGCCCGCTCTCGTAGTTCGCGCGCCCGCAGCTCGCGCGCTGCACGAGCATGCCCCAGTGCCGCCCTTGATGCTTGCCACGATCGACGAGCTTGCGAGCGCCTGCTCCCGTGCCCGAGCGTCGTCGAAGCAGGGCCCGCGGCCTCCATAAACGATCGAACTCTCTGTCGTGGTCGCGCGTGGCGAACATCGACGGCTGCCGCTGAATACGACGCCATTGCACTTCTCCGTGCATGCACGGCCAATGCTGCACGCGGAACAGTCTGCCCCGCTATACTCGGCCAGACAGCTGCACGTCCCCCCCGTGAGCAGGGAGCACAGCCCGCTTGAGCAACCACGGGCAACTCTGCACCTGGTATCGAAGAGCAGCACTCTGCCTTCAGCGTTTCCCATGACGAGGTCGAGGTCCCCGTCGTTTTCCCAGTCCACCGCCTGGGGCGCGGCGTAAAACCCAACGGGGGCGCCCTGGAAGTGACTCTCCTTCCCGAGGCGCTGCTCCAGCGCCCCGCTCGCAAGCCGCTCGAAGAGCAGCGCCTCGCTGTTGTAGTTCCCCACGACGAGGTCGAGGCCCACGTCGTTGTCCGAGTCCACCGCCTGGGGCCAGGGATACAACCCGACGATGCCGTGGAGGGGGCCCTCCTCCCGGAAGCACGCACTGCTCCAGGGCCCCGCTCGCCAGCCGCTCGAAGAGCAGCACCTCGCCGATGACGTTCCCCACGACGAGGTCGAGGTCCCCGTCGTTGTCCAGTCCACCGCCTGGGGCGTGGAGAGACCCCCCACGTCGATGCCGTGGAAAGGGCTCTCACGTCCGAGGCGCTGCTCCAGGGCCCCGCTCGCCAGCCGCTCAAAAAGCAAAACCTCGCCGATGGCGTTCCCCACGACGAGGTCGAGGCCCCCAGTCGTTGTCCTAGTCCACCGCCTGGGGCGTGGAGAGACCCCCACATCGATGCCGTGGAAAGGACTCTCGCGTCCGAGGCGCTGCTCCAGGGCCCCGCTCGCCAGCCGCTCGAACAACAGAAAATCGCTGGAGTCCCCGACGAGGTCGAGGCCCCCTGTCGTTGTCCCAGACCACCACCTGGGGCCTGGCCGTATCCCCCAAGTCGATGCCGTGGAAAGGGTTCCCCGCCCCGAAGCGCTGCAACAAGGTCCCGCTCGCCAGCCGCTCGCAGAACAGTACCTCGCCGTAGTAATTCCCCACGACGAGGTCGAGGTCTCCGTCGTTGTCCCAGTCCACCGCCTGGGGCGCGAAGTGATCACCAACGGGGACGCCGTGAAAGGGACCCTCCTCCCTGAGGCGCTGCTCCAGGGCCCCGCTCGCCAGCCGCTCGAAGAGCAGCACCTCACCGATGACGTTCCTCACGACGAGGTCGAGGCCCCCTGTCGTTGTCCCAGACCGCCTGGGGCCTGGGGTACAACGCGACGATGCCGTGGAGGGGGCCCTCCTCACCGAAGCGCGCACTGCTCCAGGGCCCCGCTCGCCAGCCGCTCAAAGAGCAGCACCTCGCCGTTGATACTCCCCACGACGAGGTCGAGGTCCCCGCCGTTGTCCCAGTCCACCGCCTGGGGCGCGGAGAATTCTCCCACGTCGATGCCGCGGGAAGGGGCTCCCTGCCCGAGGCGCTGTTCCAAGAGCTCCGATGTCCCGATGCACTTCCCAGGAGTTCGCGTGCACAATCCAGCGAGGTCCACGAGAATGCAGAATATGAAGACCACGGCATCAGTGGCCCTCTGTAGTGGCACGGCTGCGCAGGGCCCTCCCCGACACGAGAGGGCGTACGTCACTGGGCGCGCAGGAATGGCAGCACCGTGCGGGCCCTGCCTGATCCGAACGGCGTGAGTCACAATGACTACGGAAGCGATGGGGGCATGCTTGGAGTGATCATCCTGGCGTGCTTCCTGGGAGTTCCGCTGGCACCGCTGTGGCTGCCGGGAGCGAGCGGGCACTCATGGAGAGAGCAACAGCGCTGGCAACACGAGGTGTCACGTTCGGAACGGCCGTCGGCTGCCAGCAGGCACACACGGAGTTTCCCTGAGGACCACGCGGTGTGCCCCAGAAGCGAGCGGGCGGGCACAGGATGGGGCACGCAATAGCCACGTGAAGGGTACGCGAGGGATACGGGCCCAGGGTACCAACAGTGAGGGATCTGCCAAG